TAAGGCTTAAAAATCTTTTTCAACTTTTAAGATTTACTATAGTAAGCATTTGGTTGGAGGAGGTGCTATTAGAGTCAACCAAGAACTTTTAAAAGCCATTTGAGGTCATTTCCTTTTTGTAAGAGCATCTCTAAAGGCAACCTCAAAACCTCAAATATGAGATTTTTTTGTTTTCCAAAGGCAACCTCAAAACCTCAAAATTTGAGGTTTTGAATAGTGAAACCTTATATTTGAGGTTTCACTATTCAAAACCTCAAATTTGAGGTTTCATCTTTTTATTTGTATTTTGGTCCTCACATTTATTTATATCTTATAAATGATTTTACTAATTAATTATTTTATCATGTTAGTCCTTAAACTTTTATGTCTTATAAATATAGATTTTATTTTCTAATATAGCTCTTGGAAGCGCATTGACTAATCATATATGAAAGTATTACGGAAATACTTAGGGCATCTCCAACCATAACACCATTTTGGTATTGAAATAACACTATATTTAGTGTAGTTTTCACACTAAAAATATAGTAACACAATAAAAATAACATGAACATTCTTTGAATTATGATATTATCATTCTTTGGAAGTCTATTATTTATACACAAATAATGGAAAACCCTAGTTCAAAGAAATGGCCACAAACCAATTTCGTAGATTTTTTATCTATAAGTTTGGATAGGATTTCAATCCAATGGTTAGTGACGGGTGATTTTTTTTATATATCTAGGATAAGTTATAGTTTGGATAGAATTTGAATCAAATGGTTGATGAGTAGTAGAATTTGAATCAAATGGTTGATGAGTAGTGGGATCTAATGAATGGTTGATGAGTAGTGTAATTTATGATTTCGTTTGTGTGTTTTTATTATTATTTTCTGTAAGTTTATTTTATAATATAACATCTTATTAATTAATATTGATTGTAATATTTCTAATGTATGTTTTATTGTTATTCATAAAAATTTTATGATTTTAAATTTTGAGGTTTTCCTTTGGAGAGACACAACCCTAAATCTCAAATTTGAGGTTTCGCAAACCTCAAATATAAGGTTCCCTTAGGAGATGCTCTAAGTAAGTAAATAACTATCATACTGGTTGACCCACATGCACCGCTTTTATGTTATTTATATCACTCGGTTGGGAAAAAAAATATACCCAATTGAAATCGGGCTGAGGCAAATCAAAAAGTTAAAAATATTCTATAAATTCTTTCCGTGATTATCGAATCCCAGGGTTATGCATAGTATGATTAGTATCTAAATAGTAAATTCCTTTCAAGGAAACAATATATTTGAATTCGTTAATATACCCAATTTGAATGCCTCTAGTACAATGCATATATTCATTAATTTTGATATCCTTCATCAAAATTAAAATATTTGAATGCCTCTAGCACGGTGCATATATTCGTTAATTTTGATATCCTTCATCAAAATTAAAATATTTGAATGCCTCTAGTACAGTGCATATATTCATTTGGCATTGATTGGTAACCACTTTACAAAGCGGTACAAAGCGTTACAAAGTATAGAATTTTGACAGTTATCAATTATAAAAGCGTTATCAAAAGCGTTACTAAAAGATTTACTCTCAGTTTTTTTGTACAAGTTTCTCGTACAGTTCTTTCTTACAGTTTTGCACTATTTTGGAAAAGCTAACAGCTAACAGGTTTTGGTTACCAATCGGACCCATTAATTTTGATACCCTTCATCAACAACATTAAAAAACAAATTCATTAATTTTGATGAATGGTACCCGAGTTGATCAATTATAATCTCTAACTGACAAAATCTAACGTCGTCGATACAACTATTTCAAAAAATTTGTAGGTCCAATTCTGTTTTTTTTTTTTCTTTCCCAACACCTATTTTCTAATACATTAGATTCCGTTAAAAGGTAATGGTGTAATATTTGCTTTGCACATTTGACTTGTTTTTAAAGTTACTCTGAAGGTTAATTGGAAAGTAAGATTAGTTTACCAAGCCGTACGTATCTCTACTAGATAACAACAATATAGATAAACATATGATTGGATTTCATTCTAACTACGAAAGAGACTATTTTAAGGAAAATGATATCGCAATCAACGGATATATGGAGACAGAGGAGCAAAGAACATATACTTCAGTCACTAATATTGTTCCTCCCGAGCCTGCACAATCGAGGAGAGTGACAAGAACACAAGGATCGTCACAAAGAGTTTCTCCCGAGCCTAAGCACTTTTACATGGAAACAAAGCCTCTCAGGATTTTAATTAGGAGTAGAGAGTTGGGTAAACTAAGGGTCTTCCGTCTTCATGAAGAGTTTCTTGAAGGAAATCATCGTCGTCCCTCATACCTACACGTATTAGTGCCCACATTTTAGTCTTTTTTTTTTTGTTAGTAAAAATTAAATTTCCCAAATCTAACAAATCCAAATATACAGGAAATGTTTGTATATGTTTGTGTTATTCATGCATATATATTCCACAATTCTGACATTTTTTTGTAGCTATTCATATGTATTTATAGAAAAATCTAAGGGGTAAAAGTCTGATGGAACGAATATGACGGCCCCAATAAGTAGGTATATGAATGTGATCATGTCGTCAAAGAAATTTGACAAGAGTTTGTAGTCCACTCAAGTCAACAGATGAGTCAAGCATTTTAAATCAAAAACTATATTAAAGGCTAATTTTTATTTTTTATATTTTTATTAGAGGCTAATTTATTATACTATTGCAAAATTTAAATAAAAAGAAGTATTAATTTATCGGGTACGTTTAAAATAGTGTCGGCTACAATACAAGATCCATCTCGGATGACCCGTCCATCTTCTTCTAGAGATTCAATCTACAAACATTCGAAGGCTCAGATATTCTGGATCAGGGAATTCCTAAGATCAGAACTGGCCTAGGAGCAGAATTGGTTGCTTGACACACATTGCTGATTCGAAACACTTTAAATAATTTAAAATTTAATTTTGTATTAGTTCTCATCCTGTATATCGGAATTTAATATTTTTATGCACACTATCTAAACTTCTTACAAGGACACTATCTATATCTATAGTTGAATTCGGGCCACATTAATGTATCAATTAATTTTGATTAATGGGACCCGGTTTGATTATTCATGAGCTCTGACTCAGAGTGACAAACCTAAATACGATAATTTCAATTTCTTTCTAAGTCCAATTTAGCTTCTGTGTGTGTATGTTTACAAATTAAAAGACTAGTTTTTTTCAACGCAACAAATAATACGAAAATTTCAAATGCTTTGTAGAATTTAGACTTTTTTTCTTTTTCTTACAGAGGAATAGTTTGTAATATTTCTTAGTAAAACTTATACAGTTATGAGTTATACAATAATAATATTATTTTCACCAAACTGAAAGAGGAGACAAAAAAAGGTTACCTTTTCAGCAAAGTTCTGTTTGTTGGAAATATTATCACCATCTAGTGTATATCTTTTTCTGTATTTTTCACAAAAAAAAAAAAAAAAGAGGAAAATAGTACTATATACTTTTTCTATGCAATAGTAAATAGACAAAGTCATGGTCTCATGGATCATTTATATCATAATTGCGGAGTATCTGAGCAATTTAAGGGAAAGATGATTTAAGAAATCTTACGCATTAAGCGCTATTACAACAATGCATGATTAATTTCGCTTTGGGATTAGTTACTTTTTGAATTTAAAAAAATTAAGAAAGAAATTTTTGCCGACGAAATAGTTTATGTAGTAGTTGTTTGTATAAAATTAGATTACACGAAACAATGAGAATTCGTTACACGCCCCAATCTGAATAGTTTGATAAGGTCATATAACATGAATTTAATCAAATATACATTGACAAATTGAATTTGTTAACAACTTCTTGTTTCTAGTAAAAAAAAAATATCCATGACAACATTGTACGAATAGGATGGGTTATGTGTCGAGAATGGGACAAAATGATTGCTTTAGGCACTGCAATTATTACTTGGAAACAAACAAAAATGTGTTAATACGGACAACTAATAACAAACTTATATAATTGATATCATTAGGTTGAATGGTGACTGCAATCACTGTGTAATGAGTGTCATAACCGTAACAAACCCATTACTACTCCATTAAATATTCAAATTTTTTGGGATCTTTGTTAATTTGAAAAAAGAAAGAAGATAAAAGTTGTTGAGTAGTACAAATCAAAAATGCCATTATAATCTTGTTTTGTAAACCAGTTGATCTCTATGATCCAAAATCCGTCTACTATAATATTTTTAAAAAATTGGGGAGAATAATGAAATTAATTTTTTTGAAAAAACTAAAGTTACTACTTTTTCCTTATAAAACATCCATTTTAATGACTTTATTGGATGCATTGTTTAATTTTAACAAAAATTTTAAACTATGAGATTCCACGGTTTACGAGTTCATCACAAACCGTGAGTAAAAAAACAACAGGCGATAAAACAAAAATATCGAAGGAGAAGCTATTACAGGCAAACAGATTCTGATTGGGCCAGATTTTTCTCTTGGGCCTTTCAGTATCTCGCAAGCCCATCTAAAAACCCAGCTTCAATACATTAGCAGTCTCTGAACCAGCCTGGGGATTGTGAGACTCATTAAACTGAAGTCAAGCCTGACTAAAGTCAACATAACCATTCTATCACGGAGCAGTTTATAAGCAATTAAGCATACACAATCATAAATTTTAATAAACCAGATCATTTTTATCCGGTTTGATTAATTAAACAATTTTATTAATATAATATTTTATATTGACCCAAAAAGAAATCCTTTAATTTGGAAGATGAATGATAACAGTTACAAGTTTTTTATTACTAGAGAAACGGTAGCTTTTTATATAGTTATTATGTGACTAAATATGTACATGAAGATTAGCATATAAAATCACATGTTTTGATACTTGACATGTTCCTGTTTAGTGGAATAAGAATTTAGCTTATTTATATATTTACTTTTGCTTCAAGAAAAAATTATCACATTTCCTCTTTCTCTTGGTATTCAAGAGAATATAAGACAAACTGATGATGCTCAACAATAGTGGAGTCTCTTAATTGGGAAAATTAAATGGATAACTTGGTTAAGCAAAGAAGAAGAAGGTGCACGTCCTGTTCTTTTTTTTTTTATAATTGTGTAAATAATACTTTTTGATTAATAAGAAAAACAATAAGCGCATTTTATCCCTCAAAAACGTTTGTGGAACAAATATCTTTTTCTTGATCTTTGTTTATATAGGGTCTCAATTTCCGAGAACAAACAAGCGGATTTGTCAAGGCTATCAGAATTAGATATAACCGGTAAACTTTTGCTTCTAGAACATCTGTTTTCACTTTTAATATAAAGGCATTCATACATATTTTGGAAGGTATATATGATAAAAAAAAATTTATTTCTTCAATATCAAATTGAAGATTACCCAGCATTAAACTGGCTGAAAAACCAATCATATTGGTACGAGAAAAATGACTACTACAACGAGAAAGAGAGCGAATTCGCAGTTTCTATTGCGGCTGCTGCATTCGTCATTAGATCAATGGAAGAAGCCGATAAACGAAAAGCAAAAAGAATAAGAGAAGAAATCAAGAGGTCACGGACGAAGAAAACCAATCCGGTTACACCTGATGCCGAAGTAAAGAGGTTAAGCAAATCATATACACAAGAGGTGAATATTGGAAGTAATAAATACAAATAATTAGCTAAGTGGTTACTACCATTTTTGTAAGCAAACTTATATTGAAATAAAAACATGTATTGTAATCAATACCATTTTTCTCCTACAGAGGAAAGTTTCAGGAAAAAGCTGTTGGAGTATCCATCAGAAAACCGTCGGCCACAAGAGATTGGCTCATCCTCTAGGACATCAGGACTTGCTTCAGCGTCAAGTAAAGCAGATTCTTGGGAAAATTCTCACATTAAGAAAATAAGATTAAGGTCAAATTTCATTCTTATTTATTAATATGAAAAGTATATATATCAAATCTTATTAGTTATCTGGAAAATAAACTCTGCTTGAAGGTATGAGAAAATGAAAGCTGATATCGTGGGTTGGGAAAATGAGAGAAAATTAGTAGCTACACTGAGAATGGAGAAAAAAAAGGTCATCTTCTATCTAATGACTAAACATTTTCTTAATTATAATTTGTATATGACTAATATATTATTTTGTTTTATAAAGAGTGAAATGGAGAAAAGAAGAGAAATAAATAATCAGCATTACAAGTCAAAATTAGCAAGGATTAAACTAATTGCTGATGGAGCCAAGAAACAGCTTGAGGAGAAGAGGAGGAGCAAAGAAGCTCAAGTTCATGAAAAAGTAAAGAAAATGCGTAGAACGGGGAAAATTCCTATAAATTATTTCTGCTTTCGATGTTACTGAAATCAAAACTACTTCTATCAATGAAACTATATTTGTAAGGGTTTACTTAATAATAATTGAGAAACTCAAAAGTCTCAAATCATAAATAAAGAGTAAGTACACATAATTATGAATTTTGGTATATATCATCACCATGCATAATAATATTGCAGTTTTTTTTTTGTCTCTCAACTTGATTCCTAAAAATTTATTTTTTTCTAAAGACCTGTCTAGATTTTAAGCTTTAATTGATATGCAAAATATCATAATAAAAATATAAATTATGCTCAATAAACATCAAATATTGATGTGATAGTCGATGTTTACACACGCTCTCTACCCTATTTCACACATGAAATGTATCATATTATAGACGAGTAAACACCAAAACGGGACCAGAAAGGATTTTGATAGATCGATAAACTCGATTTATGATATGCTGTCAAAGGAAAATGAGGCACTCTTTGGTCCAGCCAAGTTACTCTCTTACCCTAAAATCAAAACTACTTCTAACTAATAACAAAAAGTCTCCACGTTTTAACTAATAACAAATAAAAAAAATATGATTTCTTACCGAATTTGCTAGGAATAAAAGATAAAATGCCAATATGATCAAATTTGATATTTAATGAAAGATTACAATATGAATATCTTATAGAAAAAATGGAAACTAGAGATATTAGCAAAGAAGGAATACAACTTTTTTTGGGGAAAAATCAATTGAATAAGGAAATGGGTGCAGGAAGTTTTTGTATAATAGAGTCAATTAAGGATAAGTGCTATAATTAGTAAACAATTTGGTAATTTAAGGTGGGTCAATTGAACCCCTAGTTGATGGTCTAGTCAAAGGATTAGTTATCATCATAAATCAAATGATATAGAAAATAACTGATGTGAAGAATCAAATTGGTATAAAAGAGAGTTTGATCATGGAAAAATAATTACAAAAAAAAGGATTGAAATTGAACAGATAAACTCTGAGGAGCGTTAGGATTCGCTGTCAAGAATCTAATGCGAGAAGTTGATTGGCTGACTTTCACAGATAAACATTGGGTCCCAAATAATCATCCAATAAAATCTATCCACGTGTCATAATGACGACATCAGTTTTGAAGCTGTCGGCTGTAACTCGAGAGAGGGGTGGGTGAAATCACTTAAGATTTTGATGTGACATCAAATGATTGGGAAAGAAAATCTCACAATACAAAGGGGCTGATCCGTATTTAATCCATTTCTCTAAACTTTATAGTTTTCATATTCTTTGTTTTCTTTGTTTTTGACTCAACATCACATATTTCATTCATATCACAACCTGTTGTTCCACCACAAACAACGCTTATAAGCCTCAACTAGTGGTTGTAACCAATCTGATGCAAAAGTACTTTACAAATGATTGAAAAAATCGAGATAGATCATTCCATTTTCATCTATATTACGTACAAACTACCTAGACGGGGCTAGGTATAAGGTAATCTCTAGACCAGCTTCACTTAGTCAAGCTCTATTTTGAAAAGTATAAATGAAGCTCTAGACCGGTGCACATAAATGAAGCTCTATTTTGAAATATATATCTTATTATATAAAATATAGTTTTCAAAGTTAGTAACTCATCATAAGATCGTGACACATGTTAAATTTTTCGATCTTAAATTTTGACACGTGTAAATAAAAAAATTTCTTTTATTTATTTAAAATAATATTGATATAAAGAAATAATACATACATGTCAAATTTATCGATCTCAGATTTTAACGCGTGTAAAATAAAAAATTTCTTTTATTTATTTTTAAAAAATATTATAAGGAAAGTATACGTATATATCTTATATAAAACAATTCTGAAAATCTAAAGAAGATAATTATAAGAAAACTATATGTATCTTCTTAAATAAAAATAGAAATTTAAGAAAAAAGTTATAAGGAAACTATCATATATCTTATTTATATAAAGCTTGGTTTTCAAAGGTAGTACTCATATGATTGTGACGCGTGGTAACTTTATCGATCTCAGATTTTGACACGTGTATTACAAAAAAATTCTTATAAAAAATTATACAATAAATAACAAATCCTAAAAGTAAAAGAACTTATACAAAACGTACATAAAATGAAGATAATATAGCAAATTGCTATCTTTAATATATTTTTGAGTCAACAATTTTAGTAGTTAAAATGCAAAAGTGAAAGTAAAAAGATATATACTTTGGCTTAATATGTTCACAGAGACATTTTGTAGGTAGTCGTAAAACGCATACTTTAACATTTAAAAAATACATGGATGTAAAAATATTTTTTTTTGTGGTAAAATAAATAGTAAATTTGGTACTAGATGTAAATAAGATGATGGTTTAACCATTGGTTTGCATCTAAAACATCTTCTAAAAACATTGTGAAATTATTTTAAGCGAGATCATAAAACTATGGTTTTCGATATTTGGAAATAATAATAACGATAAAATTTTGGAAAAAGTTTTGCTGATTGATAATTTAATTTTACTGGATTGTTGTAATAAACATTACAATAAATTTAAAATATACAAATGCAAATGGTTTATTATGACAAAAGAATGATTATATTAATAAATTATTTCTCTAACTAAAAAATTCTACATATTTTAAAGATAATTTCTACTTACAACCAAATTTTTAATCTAATTTATTTTGTTAAATTTGATTTTAATTAAAAATATTTAAACCCGTCCATCGGATGTGTCCTAATCTAGTATATATATATATATCAAAAACTATCTTAAATAACAATAGAAACAAGAATTGTCAAGAAACCCAATTTAGTAAAATATGAATAGGAATATGACATTTTCTTAAAAACCAACAAATTTTTCATCTATTTTTATTGGTAGATATTCATTTTAAGAAAGAAGCAAGAAAAATCGTTGCTTCATACGATAGTCAATTTGTCGTAGAAATCAATAAGATATCTCTTTGAGAAATCTATAAAACGTCTTCTTAATTATTCTTCTTTCTCCCATGCTGCCATGCATATATAGTAAAAAATTTCTTTTCATTGTACATTACTTTTATAAAATGAACTCCTTAAAAATGTTTCATGAATTGTTTTTAGAGAAATTGTTAAAAATGCCCCTTTTTCAATACCCCTTTTCAAAAATGCCCCCTTTGAGAGTCCATTTTTAAGTTTGCCCTCTTTTAATTTTTAATGACCATTTTACCCTTATTTGAAATAAAATTAGGTCCACAAAATACAAAATATTTTTTGGCGGGAAAAGTGATCCCGCAATTTTCCCGCTAAAACATTTGTAAAAACCTTAAAAAAACCTTGTAAAATTTTCCCGTAAAAATTTTTCCCGCCAAAAAATTTTCCCGCCAAAAAAATTTTTTTGCGGGAAAAGTGATTCCGCAATTTTTTTTGCGAAATTTTTTTGGCGGGAAAATTTTTGGCGGGAAAAATTTACAAGGGTATTTTAAAGATTTTTTACAAGGTATTTACAAGTGTTTTGTAAGGTTTTACAATGTATTTTAAAAGGTTTTACAAGGTACTTTAAGGTTTTATAAGGTATTTATAACTTGTAAAACCTTATAAAAAAATTGTAAAACCTTATAACTTGTAAAAATCTTATAAAATAGCTTGTAAAATCTTATAAATACCTTGTAAATACGTTGTAAAACCTTTTAAAATACATTGTAAAACCTTATAAATACCTTGTAAAAAACCTTTAAAATACCTTGTAAATTTTTGGCCCGCCAAAAATCTAACGCAAAAAAAATTGCGGAATCACTTTTCCCGCAAAAAAAATTTTTTGGCGGGAAAATTTTTTGGCGGGAAAAATTTTACGGGAAAATTTTACAAGGTATTTTAAAGGTTTTACAAATTTTTACAAGTGTTTTGGCGGGAAAAATTGGGGGATCACTTTTCCCGCCAAAAAGTATTTTGTATTTTGTGGACCTAATTTTGTTATATTTCCTTATATATTTATGATATCTTTTATTAAAAGAAGGGTAATTTAGTCATTTTGTACATAAAAGGGGTATTTTTAAAAATGGACATCCAAAGGGGGCATTTTTGAAAAGGGGTATTGAAAAAGGGGCATTTTTGTGAGTCTCCCTTGTTTTTATGGTAAGAATCCTGAACAAGTCCTTTGATATATTGTGAGATGGGAGAAAGAATAAAATTAAAAGAGGCTAAGAAGTGAGAACATATTGATTGATTCCTCGCAACTTGTATCAAATATCTCTAGTTGATGCATCAACCTCACATCTCACTCTCATTTTTGACATTCGAATACCATACTATAGTTTCGGATTCTAACGTGTTTACTCCAATAAATATATCTTGTTTTCTATTCTTTACAGCATCTACACATGTATATATTCCAACTACGTTTATAACTATGAAATTTCCATTTAAAAAAAAAATAAAATAATTTCTATTATTAGAAATGTGTTTGTTTCTAAATCGGTGAATCACACGCTTTGCTTTCTACCGAGTCATATACATGCAATGACACATTTATGTTAATGTGAGTCAGTTGAGAGTTGAAAGACGAAAATACCCTCATTTATTAGTTTTTTTTAGCAGGACAGAGGATTGTGGACTTGAGTGGCAAAACACAAACAATCCTTTGCCACACATGTGCTTCGTCCACATAAAAACCATTTGACGTTTTGCAGGGACCATTTTTGAGAAAGAGGATACAAGAAGAGAGAGAGAGGCTCTTTATTATAACTTTCAATATGGATCAAAGGCAGATACACCGCATGAGTTGTCGCTGTGAGTGTCAAGAGTTTGAAAACAAAGAAGAAGAAAGAAGATCTCAAACATTTCAAGCCAGAAGAAAGAGAGAAGAGAGAAGGTCCAAAAATAGGGAGAACCAAAAGAAAAAAAAAAAAGCCTAATTGTCAGTTTATTCTCTGCAAACGTGCGGCCTAAGTAACACATGTATCTTTCTCTCTCTCTGTTTCTGATAAAGAACACTTCTCTGTTTACACCCAGAAGAGACAAAGTCTCACGCTTCTGTCTTTATTTGTGTTTCTCTCTCTCTCTCTGTTAACACAAAAGCAATTTCCTTTTTTGGTGACTCAGGTCGAATTATGGAGTGAAGGAGCTCACATGGGAAAATGGGCAATTAACCGTTCATGGTCTAGGCGAAGAAGTCGAACCAACCACCTCGAATAACCCTATTTGGACCCAAAGTCTCAACGGATGTGAGACTTTGGAGTCTGTGGTTCATCAAGCGGCTCTTCAGCAGCCAAGCAAGCTTCAGCTACAGAGTCCTATGTTATCTCCAAACCACAATTATGAGAGCAAGGATGGATCTTGTTCAAGAAAACGCGGTTATCCTCAAGAAATGGACGGTATGGACCGATGGTTCGCTGTTCAAGAGGAGAGCCATAGAGTTGGTCACAGCGTGACTGCAAGTGATAGCGGTACCAATATGTCTTGGGCGTCTTTTGAATCTGCTCGGAGCTTGAAGACAGCTAGAACCGGAGACAGAGACTATATCCGCTCTGGATCAGTAAGAACTAACAAAATTACTTTCTGTTTTTTTGAAAGATGACTGGAGAAATAACCAAAAGAGGACTTTAATAGGAAACTCAAGATACTGAAGGAGATGAACAAGAGACTAGGGGAGAAGCAGGGAGATCTAGTGGACGACGGGGACGAGCAGCAGCGATTCATAACGAATCCGAAAGGGTAAAAACTTATCGATCTTTTTTCTATCCGTGATTACCAAACTTTGATCAAAAATCGATACTGACTCTTTCTGAGTTTTGATGCAGAGACGGCGTGATAGGATAAACCAGAGGATGAGAACACTTCAAAAGCTGCTTCCTACTGCAAGTAAGGTAACTATATATCCTAGAAGAACCCACTTTTAAAGTTAAGAATTTTTCTAGGTTAGTTAAGCGAGTTATTCGGATATTGCAGGCGGATAAAGTCTCGATCTTGGATGATGTGATCGAACACTTGAAACAGCTACAGGCGCAAGTTCAGTTTATGAGCCTAAGAGCCAATCTGCCACAACAAATGATGATTCCGCAACTACCTCCACCACAGTCAGTTCTCAGCATCCAACACCAACAGCAACAACAGCAGCAACAACAACAACAGCAGCAACAGTTTCAGATGTCGTTGCTTGCAACAATGGCGCGAATGGGAATGGGAGGCGGTGGAAATGGTTATGGAGGTTTAGTTCCTCCTCCTCCTCCTCCACCATTGATGGTCCCTCCTATGGGTAACAGAGACTGCACCAACGGTTCTTCAGCCACTTTAACTGATCCGTACAGCGCCTTTTTTGCACAGGTAAAACCGCTTTTAACTGTTTTCGAGAAAGGTGTTCAGAGATATACAAATCTTAAGCTCACTGATGTTGGCCATGCTGATGCAGACAATGAATATGGATCTCTACAATAAAATGGCTGCAGCGATCTATAGACAACAGTCTGATCAATCAACAAAGGTAAATACCGGCATGCCCTCAAGTTCTTCGAATCACGAGAAAAGAGATTAGCCTAGCGAGTATTATTGATCCATATATAGTTCTTAAAAAATTGTTATATATATATTGTGATTGTAAAAACTGTTTTTGAGTATGGAGAAGACTTGCAGAGATAAACTTTGAAAGCTTCACAACTTCATCTTCTGATATCAAATTCAGTAATTGTCAAAGGACATTAATAAACCCTTTTGCTATTTCGAGGACACTAACAAGAAAATTATCGATCTCTCGCTCGCTCTCTTCCTCTTAAAATATGTTGTCGATGTTTAAAATCTTGAATGTTAAAAGATCATATGCACAAGTAAACTTTTGTCATTTTCTCACTGTTCGGAGACCAAAGGTCTAACCTTAGACGCAGATGTTGTGGCCTTGCTCTGAGGTTTAAGAGATGTCTTAGTGTCCTGAAGAGAGATAACAGTTTCAAAAGCACCAATAAGAGCTTTCACTTTGTGCTTCCTCACCTTTGTTAGCTTATTCACTGTCTCCTCAATCACATTGTTGAACAATGTTATCATTTTCTTCTTCCCTTCTACTTTTCGATGCCTCAGAACAACTTTCTCACGTTTACTTCCTTCACAAGAATCAGATTTCGTCTCAACACCCAATCTTCCATCTTTCAGATTCTTCTTCTTCCCTTCGGATTGCGTTTTCAGTTCCTGCACAACCCTCTTTCTGAACTTGATCCATTTCGGAGAAGAATCCTCGGGTTTCGGCTCAAGAACCTTTCCTTTCTTGAAAGTCAGCTGCCGAGCTAGAGTCACCTTTGCTCCTGTCTTCTTAGGCTTAATCTTCCTCTCGGGTTTCGGATTTGCTTCAACTTCTGCAGTATCACTTTCTTTCTTCTTAGTCAAACCGGTACTGATTTTACCAGGAATCTGTTTAGTAGGACTAGAACCACGTATAGGAGTAGTCAAGCTTTTATGCCCACTTTTCATGGTTTTCTTCTCATATGATGGGTGCTTCTCACCCTTAACACCTTTAACGCTTGATTCAACAACGCACACAGTCTTCTCTTTTACATCTTCACCGCTAATTGTCTGAGTCGTCTTTGCCTTCTCCACATTCTTCAGATTCTTTGGAGCACAAACCTTAGAACTTCCAACGCCACTGATCTTTGAAACCTTCTCTATAGAAGTACTAGACTTGTCATTTCTCAAGCCAGGAACCTTCTTACCAACAGCTGAACCACTTAGAGTAATCTCGCTTTCTTTATTCTTCGGCGCCCTGTCATTGCTTTTAACGCTTAAACCATCAACAGATCTCGTTATCTCACTACCTTCTTTGGAGCTAGATTCTGAATTCACAGAAGCACATGGTTTTCTTTTGACAGACAACACATCTCTCTTTGCAGACACAGAACTCTCTGGTTTGGTACCCGGAATCTGTCTACTCACACTTCCCAATGACTTCCTTGTCAAACTTGGAGTCTCAACTTTGATCACATCTGAGCCTTCAACACTCTTTCTCCTAACCATCTTCCACGGTTTCACAGCATCATCTTGATCACACCTCTTCCCATGTTTACATAAATCATGAGTCGAACCCACACGATGATTCCCGCGATAACGGGACTGAACCTGCGGTTTCGTTGCTCGTGTACCTATTGTTCCAGTAGAATGACGTCTCAAAGTCACACCTTCTGGCTTAGGCACTTCATTGATCTCTGGTATAATCTCTTCTTGACCCTTGGATACCACAGATACAACATCTTCCGCATTTTCCACATCCTTTACACGTACTGTTTCCACAGAAGTACTCTCTTTAGACATCTTCGGAGGATTTGTCGTCTCTTTGACCTCTGAAGTAATCTCCTCAGCCATTGCCAAATCAGACCTGTAGAGGAAGGAACAGAGTGCATTACCAAAAAGATCCAATCAAAGCGACTTTTTAGTTTTATAAACAAACCAATAACTCCAATCATCTGAAATCTATGACCATAAGAGTGATTAATCCTGAACAAAATCTGGACGTTTATGAACAGAACATATTAGAAGAACTTGATGGATTCTAAAGTGCTTCTTTCTGTCTAGTTACCTATTCTAATCAGATTGTAGAATTTGACATCATAAAGAAGAAAAAAATCTACCAAAGATGACTCAACATTCTACTTTCAAAGAAGGACAAATGTTGACTTTCAAGAGTCTCGAATAAATATGTGGATTTTCCTCGTTGATCATCAACCACATCAAGACCTAAACGACAAAATTGAATTTTGATCATGACCCATTTCGAAAATTATTATCTTGTATACAAAACAATGAAATAAAAATTTTATATATTTTTTTGGACTTCTGATCGAGATTGAAGGACAATGACCTAATTCCACAGTAACGCAATAACTACTCCACACGCTTAAAACCCTACCAACAGTTACAAATTCAAACAAACACAAACCTAACCAAAACGTATATCAAAAGAAATCAAGAATTCAGAAAAAAAAAGATACCTTTAGATTGCTGCCTAATCTAACGCAGAGAATTACAACTGAAGCAAAAGAAAACAGAGAAATCGGTAAAAGATGAGAGAAAATGTATTTATATATATATATACAAGAAAATTGCTTTCCCAAATAAGATTAAAATTTTCTTTAGTTGGAAACAAATATGAAGAAAGAAGAAAGGTAGATTTGATTGTTAGGAAAAGAAACACGCAGAAAAACACAGAGCAAGGAAGAAATCTTCTTGTGCAGAAGTCTTGTGAGAGAGGGAGATACTGATTTTTATATTGGAATAATCTTCTTATTTAATTTAAGTTAATTTGGCTCGATTTTTTATTTAATGTTTTTGTCTCATTTTTATCTTTTTTTTTTAATTTATATAAAACTGATACTTGGATGCACAATTAATAAAATGTCATTAATCTATTTTTACACACATAAATAAATAAATATATATATATATATATATATATATATCAAATCATGAAAAATGCATGAATAATAATTCCATTAAGTAGATTACTCTTTTCTTAGCAAATAAGTATTTTCGGTGAAAGATATTTTTTTTTATTTGGCACAAAGGATATTTGACAATTCAATCCATAATCTCCTTAATGTTGTAAAACTTGTTGTTCTATTAATTAATGAATGAGGTTTCGATACATATATATACATGATGAGGGGAGACAAATCTCCATTGGGCTAGTAAACCCTAAAGCCCAAAAGCCCACTAAGTACAATATAGGCCGTCATAAGGAGAATCTTCAAGAACATGGACATGGGCCTTCTAGGATATGGATTAGGCCCACGGTTATGGAGTCCATCCAATATGTGATTTATAACACTCCCCCTTGGATGACATAACCGTGTAGATGCCAAAGGATCTCAGTAATACGCTTGGGGATGCTGCCTCATTAAAACCTTACCAGGAAAACCCATTGGGACAAAACCATGGTGAAGGAAAAAGAGTACAGCACGTATTACTCCCCCTGTTTTGGTCATCCCTGAAAGTCCTTAAGTCTCCGCATTCCAATTTGATGCGTGAGCTTCTTCAATGTCGATGTTGGTAATGCCTTGGTGAAGAGATCGGCTGAGTTGTCGCTGGACCGAACTTTGTACCACTCGAACTTCTCCATCCCTTTGCAAGTCATGCGTGAAGAAGAACTTTGTTAGAATGTGCTTCTTCCGATCTCCCTTGATGTAGCCGTCCTTGAGCTGAGCGATACAGGCTGTGTTGTCTCCTCATATGATGGTCTTTGATGTTGTAGTAGCTGCGCCTTGAAGAAGGCTGCCTACGTACCTTTGGAAGGGATCAAGCCACACGTAGTTCCTATTTATTAACCGTGCCATAATCTGATTTTACCTGCATCAGCAAAACAAACTAAACCAAAGCAAACTAGACCTTCTTTGGTTAGATCAGTATAGAATAAAACCCAAATAAACAAACATAGGAAGAATAGAATTTAAAATTTAACCAAACCTTCCTTCAAACCTTTCTAGTGCCTTTGGGTTGATCATGAACTAAATTTAGACAAAGGAGGTTCACGGCAAAACATATGTCTGGTTTAGTGTGGCTAGCCAAGTACATTAACGCTCCTATGGCACTGAGGTATGGCACTTCAGGATCAAGAACTTCTTCCTCATCCTTCTTTGGACCGAATGGATCACTATCCAATCCGAGGCTTCTCACCACCATTGGGCTGCTCAATGGGTGGGCCTGGTCCATATTGAATCTCTTGAGTACTTTTTCAGTATATGCCTTTTGATGCACAAGGATTCCATTATTCACGTACTCAAGTTGCAATCCCAAACAGAATTTTGTCTTGCCTAGGTCTTTCATCTCGAATTCTTTCTTTAGATATTCGACTGTTTGGGCGATTTCCCCAGAGGTTCCAAGGATGTTCAAATCATCCACATATACTGCTATTATCACAAACCCTTTGTTTGCAAATTTCTTTATGAAGATACATGGACTGATGGGATCATTCTTATAACCTTCTCTGACTAGGTACTCACTTAATCTATTGTACCACATGCGTCCACTTCGTTTCAGTCCATAAAGTGATTTGTTCAGCCTTATGCAGTATTGGTCCCGAGACCCTTTCTTATCTTTATCTTTGAGCTCAATACCCTCTGGTAATCTCATATATATTATCCAGTGGACTTATATAAATATGCAGGCATTACATCCATTAGCCGCAAATCAAATCTTTTTCTTTATATAGCCAGACTTAGCAAAATTTAAATGTCTTAGCATCCACCACAGGGGAGTATGTTTCTTCATAATCTATCCCCGGTCTTTGTGAGAATCCTTGTGCTATAAGCCGTGCCTTATATCTCACGCTTTATTATTCTCATTTCTCTTTCTCACAAAGACCCACTTGTGTCCTACTGGTTTTATCCCTGAACTTAACTCCACGTTTATGGCTTCATTCCATTTTAGCCAATCTGATCTTTGAGTGCACTCTAATATAGACGTGGGTTCATGATCCTCATTCATTTCAAGTGCTACCTTATATGCAAATATTTCATCGATGTCGACATCTTTGCGGTTCCATTTTATTCCAGACATGATATAATTTATTGAGATCTCATTATTATCTATCCCTTCAGGACCATGAGGATTGGCATCCCAAATCTCTCTATTCGGTTCCTTAGGGTCTGCCGCGGCCATGTCTATGGTTTCCTTCACCTCGTTTCCTACTGCACCTTTCTTTGATTTTCGAGGATTTTTATCTTTGGAACCTATTGGTCTACCACGTTTCTTTCGTGTGTTAGACTCGGTAGCAATTTCATTGATTCCCTTTTAGATATCAATACGTACTGGTGCATTACAAGCTGGTATGTACGTTTTTGTAACTTTCTTTGGGTCAGCAAAGGAATCTGGCAATTGATTAGCTAGCTTTTCAAATGTATAATCTTATGGACCTCTGATTCTCATGCCAGAGTCCGAGGATCTTGCCAATTTAAGGATGTTTGATTCCATTATATTTCTTTTATTGCTTTACCCAGCTTGTTCATCTCTCCACCTAAAGTAGGAAACTCAGATTCATTAAAATGACAATCCGCGTATCTAGCCTTAAATAGATCACCCGTAGTTGGCTCTAGATACTTAATAATGGTGGGAGAATCAAATCCAACATATATTCCCATCCTCCTTTGAGGTCCCATCTTTGTTCTATGTGGTGGAGCAATCGGTACATATACGGCACACCCGAAAGTCTTTAGATGGGATATGTCTGGCTTATGACCCATGAGTAATTGGGATGGTGAATATTTATGTTCACTAGATGGCCTTATGCGTATAAGCTCTGATGCATGTAAAACAGTGTGTCCCCAAGCGGCTACTGGAAGCTTCGACCTCATGAGTAATGGTCGAACTATCAATTGAATTCGTTTAATGAAGGATTCCGCTAATCCATTCTGTGTATGTACATGTGCTACGGGATGTTCCACACTTACCCCCATGGACATACAGTAGTCATTAAACGCTTGGGACATGAATTCACCGGCATTGTCTAGACGTATAGTCTTAAGCGGAAAATCTGGAAAGTGGGCTCGCAGTCTTATTATCTGGGCCAATAACCTAGCAAACACTTGGTTTCTAGTAGATAGGAGACAAACATGCGACCATCTTGTCGATGCATCAATGAGGACCATACATATATCTCCTTGTATCCTTTCCAGAAATCTTAAGGTCTCTTTATTTACCTTAGCCGGTGATGGCCTTATAATGAGTTTCCCTTGTGAACATGCTTCACACGTGAGATTCTTAGGGATAACTCTTTTCTCTCTTAGGGTGTGCCCCTTTGAATTAGTTATTAGTTTACGCATCATACAATGACCCGGATGGCCAAGCCGGTCATGCCATAAAGTGAATTTCTCGATGAACTCTTTGTTCATTGCCATATTAGCTTCGATCATATTGATTTTAGCATAGTAAAGACCAGTGGATAATGCGGGTATAGTCTCTAGGACTTTCTCATGTCCTTGGGTGATCTCAATTATATTTAGGAATTCTTTGTTCCCTTCACCCTTTGTTTCAATATGGAAACCATTCAATCTTATATTTTTGAAACTTGACAAGCTCCTCTACGAGCTGGGTGAATATAGGGCATCGCTTATTTCAAGATGCGTGCCCTTTGATAAAAGTATATGGGCTTGACCGTGGCCCTCAATAAGACTAGCTATACCAGCTATGGTGCTAATATTGGCATTTTCAATGTTAGATTTATAAAGTATCTTTTGTCTTTTTAAAATTGTGTGGCTCGATCCACTATCCACCACAATTATGTTCTTGTCCTCGGCCATTTCTTATATGGACAAGAATCATGTTCTAAACATAAAATAATATAAAATAAATTCAAGCAAATAACAATCAATGAACACATAAAATGCAAAGAAAAACATAGAGGTTTTGATGTCGAAGTAAGATTTATCAACTTGATTCTTTTATGCAATCAGAAGTTTCATACTCTATTAGATCATCTTGATCATGTTCACCATCTTTATATACCAAATGGGCTTTAGGATTCTTCCCTTTTACACTCTCTTGATAGAGGTCACAACGATGATTGGAAGTCCTACATATCTTAGCCCAATGGTTTCCCATTCCATATCTACGGCATACTCATTTGGTCGAGTGTTGTGGTTTGGAAATACCACATCGTCCTCGCCCTCGACCACGGCCGGAATTGGGTCTACATCCACGGTTAAAGTGGTTCCCACGGCCGGATGAGTTATAGTGGCCACAACCACGTCCTTTCAATACCACATCTATGGCATACTCATTTGGTCGAGTGTTGTGGTTTGGAAATACCACATCGTCCTCGCCCTCGACCACGGCCGGAATTGGGTCTACATCCACGGTTATAGTGGTTCCCACGGCCGGATGAGTTATAGTGGCCACAACCACGTCCTTTCCATCCACCACGGTCACGGCCGTGTGGTCTATCACTTTGGACGTGGTTAGATTCTTTGGATTCTTTCT